TGTTCTATGGCAGCCCAGCTGGGGGAGGGGGAGGGGCGGTGAGCACTTCCTGGCTGGAATCCCCCCCAAAGAGGCAGTAGTAGGGGGAGGGACAGCTCCACATGATCCGGTGCTTGTGGGGAGCTAGTTTTTTAAGCCAGATCCCCCTGAGCACCAGCTCCTGCATGCGGCCCTTCTTGCCACTTCTGATAGAGGCAGCAAGGGGTGTGTGCGTGCGCAGTCATTTGGATTAACCAAGAAGCCCAGGCTTTATTGGTTCATTATTTGAATGACTATGGGCTAACATCCCTAGCTATATTATTGACTGTAGTGTTCAGAGAATTTTTTGCACTTGCATCTCAGATGAGTTGAATTTCAAATTTGTGGTGAATTTAAAGGTAACTTCCATCTTATTCTAACAGGATAATCGGCTGAATGTAACAGAGGAACTAACATCTAATAACAGGACAAGAATTCTGAATGTCCAATCAAGGCTTACAGATGCCAAACATGTGAATTGGAGGGCAGTGCTGAACAACAGCAACCTATATATTGAGATTCCCAGTGGTGCTCTGCCTGAAGGGAGCAAAGACAGGTATGCAGGATGGAATGTAATCTGCCATTTGACTTCTTCCTCATCGGGGCGACCTTCAGTTCTCCTAAAGGGTGATGCTCCTGTGTTGGCTACATACTTCCAGCCAATTATGGGATTAGGTGCCAAGCTTCCTTGGCCACATTTCTTCTGTTCCACCCAGGACAGATGCATTTGATTTCTAAAGTGCTAGAACAGTCCCGAATAGTATTCCTATTTTGGCATGTGCCAGTGAGAATATAATCTAAATCTGTTTCACACTGATCCCAAGGCTTCAGAGATGTAAGCTAGCTCAAGCAGCATGAGCATACTCGTCTTTAGTTGCTGAGTTGTTGTTTTTTTGTTTAGCTGTGGAAAGGGTTAGTCTGAATTACAAGTTTCATTTAAAGGGGGAATAAACTTTTTAATAGTAAAAAGGATTGCAAGGGTGATTTGTGGCCTTACAAGTAAAGGAACCAGGTAGGTCACTCTTATTCTTAAGTCTTTAACTTCATTTGGTATTTGGGTCTTAAAATGCTGGGGCATCTTTCACTGCAGGTGTTTTGTGCTAGTTGTGCGTTCCAAGACTGGAAGTCTTAATTGGGCTGAGAGAATTCAAGGATAACTGAGCAAGACTGGCACAGCTGGGATCAGTTGTGTTGAGAGCCTGGGTACTTACACTGCTGCCTGATTTGGGTGCACAAATTTGCAGGTGCAACGGTGCACAGGTCACTTGCTCGAAAATTTGCCCCAGGTGGTTTGCTCCTCTAATACGTTTGACCCTCAGATGTTGCTGCAGGAACTGTCTTGCCTCACTGATATTTCACTTCAGTTTTGCAGTTCTTCTTGAGTTTGCTGAAGAACAGCTTCAAGTTGGCCATGTCTTCATTTGCTTCCACAAGAACAGAGATGACAGAGGTGGGTGTAAATGGAAACGGGCACACAGCTTTCACTGTGGCTTCAGTAACTAGATAAGTAACTTCTTAGAAATGCAATTGCAATGTATGTGAAGAAATTGGCCTTTTCAGAGCCTCATGACTACTCTGGCCAGTAGGATTTGTCTAGTGGCCTCGATATCCGTTTAAACTTGTATTTCTACTTTTTGCAGCTGCATTGCTCCGAACTTTCAGCTTTTTGGGCTTTGAGATTGTGAGACCAGGGCATCCCCTTGTCCCTAAGAGACCAGATGCTTGCTTCATGGCCTACACGTTTGAGAGAGATTCTTCGGAAGAAGAATAGGTTGCAGTGTTTGCCTCTTAGAGCTTTCTTGTTGTCTGTAAAGATGAAATTGTAGAAATTTTGTCAACATCTATTACAGTACATATAATTGTTTGTTCTTTGTACAAAATATTGTGACCAGCTGCTCTGGTGGTGGGATGTTGAAAATTTCAAATGTCATCTTTTCTGGAATTGTGCGCATGTTGTGATTGTGCAAATAAATGCTCACTCCAAATTAGCAGTATATTTCTTGAAGTTTAATATTGTGTTTGTGATACCGAAGTATTTGCTTTAATTCTAAATAAAAATTTATATTTTACTTTTTATTGCTGGCTTAAGATGTTTAAGACCTTCCCTCTGGCTAGAAAGCTTTTGGCTCAAAATGGTAGGTAAGGGCAGCCAGACTAATACTAATCCATCTTCCTTGCTGACTGTGCAGTAAAACCTCAGGTATGGACACCGCTGCTCTGACTCCAGCAGTTCGGCTTCGGTCCAGGTTCTAGAGCAGGGATGGACAATATATTTTGCAGGGGGGCTGCTGTTGGGATGTGGTTGTGGGCTGGTTCTGGGCCCCCTGAAAGGGGTGGGGCTGCAGGCTCTAGTGTGAAAGACACCTGTGACTGTGTTGCTGCTGGGTAAGTGAAGCCATGCTCTGCCCTGCTCTGGTCTCCTTGCCCTCTGCGGAGGTGGGGGATGTGTGTGGGCACGAGCGCTGAAATCTTAGGAACAGTGTGCTGTTTAACAGAGTTTAAAGAGAAGCTAGATAATTTCATGGAGGTTAGGGCCATAAAAGGCTATTAGCCAGGGGATAGAATTGGTGTCCCTGGCCTGTTTGTCAGAGGCTGGAGAGGGATGGCAGGAGACAAATCGCTTGATCATTGTCTTCGGTCCACCCTCTCTGGGGCACCAGGTGCTGGCCACTGTCAGCAGGCAGGCTACAGGGCTAGATGGACCTTTGGGCGGACCCAGTACTGCAGTTACATTCTTATGCTTAAAACAGACTCCTCAGTCACTCACTGCCCAGGCTTCAGATTGGAGCAGCTCCACTGTCTCTCTCCCTGGCCGGCCCTGCACCTTGATTGGTATGGAGTGAGAGGGCAAGAAGTCCTCCCCTTTTCTCTCCTAGAGAGCTGCCAGCTGTTTTAAAACAGCTGCCAGTTCCCTTTAAGCCAGTGGTTCCCAAACTTTTTGGCATGCCCCCATTTTGATTTGAGAAACCCTCATGCGCCCCCCCAAAATAGCAAAACTTGGGGGGATTGATGGGGGTGCAGGGCTGGGTTGCCTCATGCCCCCTGGAAGTCCTTCATGCACCCAGGGGGCACCCCCCAGTTTGGGAACCCATGCTCTAAGCCATCCCTCTAGGTGCCTAGTGGGAGGAGGCCTCGTGGGCTCTCCCAATCAGGACCCAGAGGTGAAGTCTCCACTCCCACAAGAGTGTGTGGCAGCTAGAGAGATGCCACTTGTTTTAAAATAGCCAGCATATGTCTCCAGCTGCTGTGTGCTCTTACAGGGCTGAGGAGACTTCTCATGCTTCCCTGGCCCCAGACTCTGATTGGCCTGGGAGGTGGGGGAGTGGCAGAGCAGCCTCATCCACTAGCTTGGCAGGCCACATCTGGCCTGTGGAGGGCCCTTTGTTTACCCTTGATCTGGACAGTGCTTGGTCCTGCTGAGAGGGCAGGGCACTGGAAGGGACTTCGAGAGCTCATCTAGTATCTGATTCTCTGGTCCTGGGCATGCTTGTCCCCCTCCTGGGGAGGGTTGGAGGAGATGGGTGAGGTGATGAAAAGAGCTGTCCCCCTCCTGGCTGTGGATGGGGAGAGGGTTGAAAGTGGGACCCACAGCTAACAGGAATGTGGTGCAGCCCCTAAGCTGTTCCTGCCTTGGTGGCCTTAGCCTGGCAGCTTTGCCTGCAAATCTCAAGCATCTTTGCTTCCTTCACTGTAAGATTGCCATGGGGGTAGGGGTGGGAACAGGCCCATCCTGACCATGCAGTACAGGCACAGCTTTAATCTCTGCTGCTGTCTGATTGGTTACTACTTGTTTCATATGGTGTCCAATTGACCAGTCAGACTAACTGGTGTTTCTTTGAGGTTGTTGTCCAGATGTATTAATCACTTATGTCAAGTGTCACTTGCATTCACGTTTGAGTAGTACACACTTTGATTGGAGCCATCTTTCCAGCTCAGATGTGTTCAGCTAGGCCTACTAGCCACTGACGACCGCTGAAAGGTTCTTAATGAAGAGTCTGGGAACTGCTTGGCCTACCCCAGATATTTGCTGCCTCAACGTATACAAAGCCACAGACGCTGTTCTGTAGTGGTTTTACATACGTAAAGGGATGTTACCTTAGTGAAAGGAAGACTGATGTGAAAACCACAGCCCTCTCGTTAAACAGTCTAGGTGTAAAAATACATCTAACTTGGCTGTTTGCTTTTAGCCTCTGGGTTTACTCAGTAAAAATGAGTTGGATATCTTGTGTAAAGACCACAACTCCACCTCTTCGCTCTGCAATATAACAGCTGGATGTTTTCAGTAGTGGCATCTTCCTATAATTTGCCACCATTTCCCTTAACCTGTGTATTGAGGATTAACTCAGTTTAGAGTCTTCTGCTTGGATTGCCTGCTGATAACAGATTGTCAGTGTTTTATGCTTTGCTATAATCTATGCCTAAAGCCTGATTCCCTGGCATAATGAAACCTGGGGGTGAGGCATATGTGAGAAGTCTGGAACACAACTGCCTTTCACACAGCATTCTGTGGCTTAATGGCTGGATTGGAATCAGAATTCATAATGGTGGTAGGCTGTTCACTTGCTGGGAGTGTCATCTGCCTGGTAACTCGTGTATTGGAAATGGATCAGCAACTCTACCCGCAGCCTTAAGTGATGAGCATGGTGTGGGTAACATAAAGGGAAGGCCGGCCACTGCGCGCTTCAAGCACGTCCATTTTTAAATATTTCTCAAAGAGTCTGAGGTTGCAACGAGAGGAGCATTCCCTCCCTGTCTCCCTCCTCCACGCGTGGGTAACTTGTGACCCACTGCGGTTTGACCACAGCCCACATGTCTCCTCTGCCTGCTCCCTTCTCATGCGCTGGGGCCCGGGATGTTGGCTGGTCAAGCTCGGGGAGGAGCAGAGAGAGCGTGCAAATCAGTGGATTTGTGTGCTTGGAAAGTGCTGGGAGGAGGGGTAGGAAGTTCAGGGCTCCAGTGTGCCAGAGGCATGGGGGAAGGGGACAGAGAAGGGGCTGCAGGTGGAACCCCATTGGGTTGCAGGTTGCTCATCACTGGAATCACGTGGCCTACTAAGACAGAGGAGGGCCACACATGCGGCCCACTCCTGAGTCATGGTTGCCCAGCGCTGTGCTGAGGTGACCAGGGCAGAGCAGCTAGAGCACGGGATGAGGTGCTAGGATCTCTTGAGACTTAGTCACTTCCATTTCCGGGAGGCTATGGTTCTAGTTTAGGTAAGCCAGCTCTTTCCACAGACTAAATCCTGGCTAGGCCTAAGCTCAGTGCAGCCTTCGTAGATACCAGTGAAATGAACTTGAGTAACAAAGGGCACCAAACCAGTCGAGCCGTGTCACTGAGTGGTGGGGCCTGGAGGGGAGAGCCCGCTGCCTGGTAGAGTTGCCAGATGGTTTAACCAAAAATACCCCCCCCCCCCAAAAAAAAAGGCACTGGGGAAAAAAGAGGGGAGGTCAAAGATGTTGAGCAAAAAATAAAATAAAACAAAACAGCATTAAAACAGCATGGCCCTTTCAGTGTGTGCAGTGTCAGAATAGGGATAGGAACCGGGGACGGTTGAGCACTAAGACCCAGGGAAGGCATTGCTTCGCCTTGGTCTTTAGGCTTTTTGCTGGTGGCCATTTTGTTTTCTTGATCAAGCCAGAAGGCAGCTTCCCTGCGGAACCAGGTAAGCACGGCGGGCGTCGGGGGCCCAGCGGGAGGAGGCCGGGGGCTGGGCCTGGTTGCTGAGTGTGTCGTAGGGTTGCCTGGTGTCCGGTATTTTCGTCTCCTGGCACGGACGAAAACCCAGAAAATACTGGACATTTTAGGTGTCCTGTATTTTCTGAATTTGTTTTACTGGACAGGAGGCGAAAATACCAGACAGTCCAGGTCAATACTGGGCACTTGGCAGCCCTACTAGTGCCCGGTTATAGCTGGGAAGCACCGCAGAGGCCAGAGTGAGCAAGCGCCCCATGTCGCCTGCCACCAGTGAGTGGAGAGGCTGTGTATCTTGTCATGCG